GGATGGGGCAGGGGTCCTGGGGGGGCCATCAGGGGGCGAGAAGCAGGGGGGTGTCAGATGGGGGCAGGGGCCAGGCCATGCCTGGTCGTTTGGGGAGGCCCAGCCTCCCCTAACTGGCCCTTCATACAATTTTGGAAACCTGATGCGGCCCTCAGGCCAAAAAGTTTGCCCGCCCCTGATTTAGACAATGCTCTTTGGTACAAGGAGAATCTTAAGGCCATATCCAAATGAGGAAGTTGCACTGATTAGCTTAAGGTGCTCTTCTTAAACCAATTTAGCTAAAATGATGCAAAAGGATGTGGTTTAAGAGCGGATTACAGTAAAAGCTTTGTTACCCAGCACACTGGAGGAATGGGGGGTGCCGCTAACTCAAAAATTCCAGTTAACTAAAAAGGAGGGAGTTTGGGTGCGGGAGGGAGCTTTGGGCAGGGGGTTGGGGTGCAGGAAGGGTTTCAGGGTGCCAGATCCAAGCGGCGCTCACCTTGGGCAGCTCCCTGAAAGCGGCAACATGTCCCTGCTGCTCCTAGGCGGAGGCGCAGCCAGACAGCTCTGCGCGCTGCCTCCACCCACAAGCTGCAGAGCCAGCACTTGGGGCAGGGCAGGGGCAGCGCACAGAGACCCCGTGGCTGTTCCTCTGCCTAGGAGCAGCAGGGATATGTTGTCGCTTCCATGGAGCCATGCAGAACGTCTGCCGGCCCCACACCAACCAGACTTTTAATGGCCAGTTGAAAACTGGACACCTGGCAACCCCATTGAAGATCAGAAATGCCGATTTATAGAGCTTTCCGCTTGGTAAACTGCCAGATACACCACTTTTACTGTATTTTGACTACCTCAACTGGCAAGTAATTTACAAGCTTGATCTAAGAGCATCTTCAAAATCACTGATCAATTTATAAGGTATTTTCTACCATCCAGCCAGAGCAATTTACTCACTGATAACACCTCATTAACTTAGACTGGCTTTTATGAAAGCCAACACATTAGTATAAGCAATAGGGGTGTAGCCACCTTATCAGCAAGACATGCCACAACATGCAAATTATGAATGATGGTTTTAAAAATTACCTAGCTAAATATTCTACAACAATTTTTTTGTTCTCCAACTTGTTTGCATAGTTTTGTAGATGATTAAGCGTTCAACTCCAGTGAAAGGTAATGTCAGTCTTAGAAGCCACATTTCAAGAGCAGATTACAAACATGAACCGTATTCTTAATTCAACAAAAGTTTGATTTTTTTTATAAAATACAGTAAGATAAAGTCAGTTTACATTTAAGACCATTTTAAGACAAATTAAGACTTTAGGAAGTCTATTTTTATTATATAGTTAGCTGTGTACAAACATGGCCGAATTAGGGTCTCAATACTAACAGTTATAAATGAAGATTTCATATTGAATAATTTTAATATCGCACTTTCAAAGCCATATTTTGCACACTAGCCACTGGGAATAGCACTTACTATTATTAGCCCCAGTGAAAACACTCATAGTAGTTCCACTATTGTTTTTAATAACAATACACCTAGATGTATTTGTAGGACAAGACCAATAGGCTAAATTCCCAATGTCATCGCTGGTTTCTTGATCACCTGAAACCTTTAAAAGGCCGGGTATCTTTCTAAGAGATATGCTATAGGTCAAACAGAAGCTATGAGCTTAATGCAGATGTTACTGGGTGAGCTTCTAAGGCCTATGTTATACAGATCAGATTTGTAGATGATCATAATTGCCCCTTCTGGCCTTAAACTTTTTTTTTGGTCATGGCGGAATCCACACATACCTAATAGTTAAACACAGCAATTAAGAGTCCTATTCTATGCAACTTTGGCCCAGGATTTCGAGCTATAGCGGTACAACATCTGTGGTCTTAAGTTCAAGGCTTGGTAAGAAGTAGTATTTCAGGAGGCAAGAAACATTAGTGCCTGTATGCGGATTCAGGAAAGCTTTGCTTCAAGCCTACATCTTCTGACCACACTAGCAGTTAATGTACTTTAGGAAGTTGTGCACCAGGTACCACAGCTGAAAAAACAGGTAAGAAGCTCCTTAGTGAAGACAAGGCCAGAGCTACACTACTGCACAGCAAAGTGTTGTGCTTTTTTGCACAAGTCTTAAAATGTTTAGAAATGCAACTCCCCTGTAAGCGAGAAGCCCTTTGATCCCACCTCCCAGCTGCAGTAAGCCTCCCATCAGGAGGGTATGCTAGGATTTGACAGTAGTCAGAAGAAGCAATAGTGACTGGCTTACCACATTGTGTTCATTGCAAGATGCACACTTGCAGCGTGCCACCTCCTGCAAGATGGAAGTGAAAGAGACCAGCTCCTTTTAACCCCTTGGGATCTGGCTCTTGTCCCCTGGGAGGGTCAAAAAGAGGAAAGCCCCAGATCAAGAAGTGAAGCGTTATCCTAGTCTGTAACCGTATCACTGGAAAACAAGTTCTGAGACTATTATACACCCTCCCCACCTCCAATGCAAATATAACGATACATCTCTACAATGGAAATCTGGATCCTGCCACTGAATCAGGATTGGCACAGCATCTCATTTCCCCCCCCAAGGATTTATTTTACAGTTCTGTCCCTACCCCTGCCATTTGCACAAGCTAAGGGAGGGAATGATTTGCCAGGATCCTTATAAAAATGAGACTTTCCTGAAAAACCAGAACGTTAGTCACTCTACATAGCAGGGGTGAAGCAGGCCAAGGGAAGTATCTATAGTCTGGCAGCCACACAGAACCAAAACCCAGTCCAGACACTGGAAGTTTCATTTCTGCTCACTTGCTGGGAAAGCTGCACAGCTGTAGATTTTAAGGATACAGACTGGGGCACACCCAGCCCAAAACTGAAAGTGAAAAAACTGGGACAGCGTTATTTGTCAGACAACCACACTGGCGATCTGGAGTGTTATTTTAAAATAATTCCTAGGCTGAAGAGAAAGTGTAAGGGTGTTAAAGAAGTCTTTCACAGTTATGTTTAAAGGTTCTTTGTGTCAGCAGGCAAATCAGTTAGACTTGATGCTTTCCCCTTCTTTATGATATTAAAGAAAACCCAAAGGTTCTCTTCTGGTTGTTGCATTAGAAATTGAGGTCCTATCTATAGTAGGAAATTTTAGAAATAGCACCCTGTGGCAATCACAACAGTTCAGCTGCACCAGTGGAAACTGAGCAAACTTCAGCGGCTTCTGGTGATTTTACCACTGTGTTGGAATGAACCTGCTTGTGAGGGGGTTTAACTAAGCATATTTTCGTGTTAGTGGTTTCTCCCTTATTAATAGACTACAGGGAAGCTGACTACACACAAAGTACTGTCAAATATCCTGTCAGAAAACAGTCTTCCCCCCCAGCATTACTTTTTACTTACATGTAACACGTAAGGTTACTATAACAATACTTGACAGTATCCCTTTAAATACAGAAACTGAAGAGACTACCAGTTCCAGCATGCAATGCTCTATCTTAATCTGAATAGAAGATGTGCATATTGAAGCATACAGCATGCTAGGCTTGATAGTCTATCGGCCACACTCACATATAGAACAGGAGGGTGGAGGCAAACTGCAGTGTCAGACTGTGGGCTGCACTGGGCTTGCACTCTGCCCAACTCCAGATACATCACTAGTCCCAGATTACTGAAATGCCCACTTCAAATGCTTTGGAAAGAGATCTCATTTTTGCGATGCAGTTACTGGTACAAACTGACAAACATTAAAAAGACACAGGGGCATCTGTGTTGGGAAAAACAGGCTTCTTGCAAACAAGTCCCAACAGAAGGAAAATCTGGTTGCCATGCCAGAAAGAAGAAGGGTGTTTCAGGGCTTCCAAGCTAAAGCTATACAAATGTAGGTAATAAAATGAGCTTGACCTGAGGCATATCAAGTCAGATCTGAGCCTTTTGCCACAAGAGGCAGAGGCTGAAATTCAACTTCGGTCGCAAGTGACATGACTGGCTACATGAGTTTAGTTTCTGAAGCAGTCTGCAGCAACAAGCACAGCTATTTAAGATAACTAGCAACCATTGCTCAAGGACAGCAAAGGATTGGAAAAGCAGGGAGTGCTGCAGTACAACAGGAGACCTGCATGTGAGTAAATAATTGAAGGTTACTTGTAATGGGAAGTTCTTTCAGATTTGTGGCCCTTATCTGTATTCTATATGTGGGTATGCAAGCGCATCACGTGCCTGAGACCGGAAAAATCTAGCAAATAGTGTCTGTTGATTCACACTTGTGCCCTGGATCTCCTCATGCTCAGCACTGAGAGCACAAGGGGAGGTGCAGACCGACCCACCTCTCCAGGTCCTTCTCTACCATGAATCCAGTCATGATCTGAAGCAGAGGGGCAGGAGGATGGGTAGCAGAATAGAGAGAGAGAGACCACACACCCCAAAGAACTTCCAGTTACAGGCACGTAACCTCCATTTCTTCTTTGAGTGCTGGTCCCTCTAGTTATTCCATGTATGGGTGGCTGGAAAGCAGTACTCAAATAGGAAGAGGGGAGTGCAAGGATGCCAGCCATACAGATGTTTGTAACATTGCCATTCCAAAGGCTGCATCAGGAGAAGAGGCTTGAACCAAAGTGCAATGCTTAGTGAAAGCATGAATGGAATTCCAGGTTGCTCCTGTACAAATGTCCAGCATAGGCACTTCCTGAAGAGTTGCTACTGAGGTCACCTGTGCTCTAGTTGGGTTCTGCAGACTATATGTAAGATTTCCAAAGTGGTCCAGACCTCCATTCAAAATTTCTGTAGGGGTCCACAAATGAAAAAAGGTTGAAAATCACTGCTCTAGTGGAAAGGTCCCTCACCTGGTCCAAGGGAGGGAGATTACCCAACTGATAGCAAAGGAACATACAGTCAGAAACCAAACTTAATCTTGGAGCAGATATTACTTGTCCCACTGCTTGCTCTCCCATAGCAAAAATTATTCAGGTGATTTTCTAAACAGTTTTGTTCTTTGCAGGTAGAATGCGAATGCTCATCTGATGTTGAGAGAATGAAGTCTGTTCTCCTCACTTGAGGCATGAGGCTTCAGGGAAGATACCAGTGAGTTGACTGGTTTATGTGGAACTTGAAAGTTACCTTCAGGACGAATTTCAGGTGGAGGCGAATGGATTCCTTCTCTTTATGAAATGCACTGTATGTCGGGTCATCCACGAGGGCATCCAGCTCACCTACCCTTCTGGCTGATGTAAATGGTGACCAAGAAGGTGACCTTCAAAAGACAGGTGGGACATGGAGCACATGGGCAATGGTCTGAAAGTACGAGATCGAGGTTCTACTGTGGTAGTGGGTTCACTACTGGTGGGAAGTCAGTCTTACTCTTTAGGAATCTGGCTGTTACTGGATGAGTAAAAGCAGAATAGCCATCTGCTGGAGGAGGGAATACACTGATTGAAGCTGCAGTGACCTAATAAAAAGACCCAACATCTTGAGAGCGAGGAGGTAGTCTAAAATAGCAGGAATACCTACTGCCCTTGATAACTGACTCTGTTGCAACAGGTAAACACACACCTCAATTTGGCTAGATAACATTTTCTGGCAGAGAGAAAAGGTAGGTGAAGTAATATCTTCTATTGGACCTACTTCTGTTGGTGAAAGAGGCAGGCTTTTGAACTACATAGAGCTCTTCTTCAGATCTGTGAAACCTGAATATCTTTCTCACACCTGAAGAATAGCTCCATGTAGCTCAATAGCTTGCCTCTTTCAACAACAGAAGTTGGTCCAACAAAAGATATTACTCACCCACCTTGTTTTCCTAACACCCTATGACCAACACGGCTACAACATTGCAAACAACATTTTCTGGTAGTCTTTCCTGCTGTAATTAAGAAGAGTTTGAATGGCCACCAAACACAAACACTCTTGATATTAGGATGGGCGTCAGACCTAGCTGTGAGTGAAGAGAGTTGGGTTGGGATGTCTGATTCCATGGCTCTTGAGTTAGCAGGTCTGATAAGGACTGAATGCAGATGGGTTAACAGGTTGACATTTGTAGAAAGTCTGGAAATCAGCATTGTCTGTGCCAATAGGGTGCACTGAGAATGACTCATGCTTCATGGTGACTAATCATCCATAGAACCTGGGGTCGTAGTGGGATGGAAGGGAAAGCATACTTCAAGTGGCCTGTCCAGTACGGTAGAAGAGCATTGCCCCTGGAGTCCTGACCCCATGCTGCTCTGAAATAATAGAAGTTAACTTCTTGTTCATGAACAGGTCCAAGATGATGTACTACACTGAGTGAATATATTATTCAGCACTGAATTCTGCAACTCCCACTCGTGATCCATGGCAAAATGCCTGATGAGATTGTCTCCAATCAGTTCTGAGTGCCTGGGAGGTATGTCAAATAAACTGAGGTGGCTCTGGATACACCTGTGCCATAAGTTGCTCATCTCTATGCACATTGGGAGGGATTTTTCCCCTTTGTTTACACAGAAAATGACTGTCATGTTCCTTATATTATCCCGACATATCCAGATCATGTGAATGGGAGGAATGCATTGTAGGCCTGTCTGACTGCTCTTAGTTTCAGGAGATTGATATGCATCATGGCCTCCAAAGGTATCCAAGTACCTTGTGCTGTATGACTACCAATCCAGGTTCCCCAGCCTGTGAAGGATGCATCTGTGATTACTGTCATATCAGGTGTGGGAACTAGGACAGGGACTCCAATGCCCAAGCGTTCTGGGTTTGTCCACCTGGTGAGTGAAGCCTTGACACTGGACAAGGATTGTCATGACAAAGTTCATGCTGTGTCTGGCATATACACCAACTGGAGCCAAGGTTGCAGACAAAGGAGATGTAGCCCGGTGAATGGCTTTATGTAGGTACAGGTGGCCATGTGGCATAGCCAGGAAAGACAGGCCCAGACTGTTATCCAAGGTTTGTGAGTTACTTGGTTTATCAGACTACTCATGGCATGGAATCTATTTGCACAGAGGTAGGCCCTTATTGCTATTGAGTCCCGGGTAGTCCCTATGCTGCATGGGAGTGAGAGTAGACATTTCCACGCTTACTTGGGCCTGGTCTACACTACGAGTTTAGGTCGACTTTAGCAGCGTTAAATCAAATTAAGCCTGGACACATTCACACGACAAAGACCTTTCTTTCGACTTAAGGGGCCCTTTAAACCGGTTTCTTTACTCCACCTCCGACGAGGGGATTGGCGATAAAATCGGCCTTAGCAGGTCGGAATTGGGGTAGTGTGGATGGAATTCGACATTATTGGCCTCCGTGAGCTATCCCACAGTACTTCATTGTGACCGCTCTGGACAGCGCTCTCAACTCAGATGCACTGACCAGGTAGACAGGAAAAGCCCCACGAACGTTTGAATTTCATTTCCTGTTTGCCC